AGCACTGGGAGCAACTGGAGGGAGGGGATGTGCTGATTGAATAGACCAGCAGAGAAGCATCGGTTATTTTTAGAGTATAATCCATTCAGCATATGTCACACAGCTGTGATTCAAGTGCCATTGCAAGGTCATGATAAATATGTTAGTCAGCTGCTTCTGTAAGGTCCCCAGGCTGCAATTGCCGGGTGTGTGTGTGTGTGTCGTGAGCCTCTGGCCAGCACGTGGTTACCATAGGTGGCATTTCAGACAAGCCTCAGTGACAGCAGGTGACCAGAATTTCTTCCAAAGGCTTCTTTCTCCCACATCTGTCTCATCTTGTGGCGAGAAACAGCGTGGTGCAGTTCTGCTCTATTTTTTGATCTTTGCAAGAGCGGTGGGATGGCTCTTCGTGCTGCTTTGCCAGTTCTCACTGGTTTCCTTGGACTGGCAGCTCGCAGATGTTTCCACTTCTTGTGTTGCACGTGACACTTCTGAAGAGAGCTTGCACCACAGTTGTTTTTAGTAAATTTGCTACACAGAAATGTTGTAGAGCCAAAGGAGAATGATGCTGATCCAGAGCAGCAGATCTAAATATTGTTCCATGCAGATCTTTTCAGAATGGATAGGGTTTTTGTTGATGGATTTGTCAGGAAAATGGGCAACTTCTTAAAATTTTATTTATTTGTTTTTATGCAAAGGAAGTGCTTTGTGTCTCGAAGATTCATTTGTAACAGGTGGAGAAGCAGAACAAGTCATGTTCTGCAGGGTACTTTTGTAAGTGGTGGTAAGGTTTATATCTGTCTCTTTCTGCAAATGAGCAAGATTAAAGCTGGTTTGTCCTTTCCTGCACACAATTTATTGCTCTTTCTTCATTATTCTATTGGCTCGTATTCAAGTTCCCCAGGGCAGTGGTCACAGCACGAAAGCTGTCAGGGTTTGAGGAGGGTCTGGATGATGCTCTCAGCTGGATGGGTGGGTGTTAGGCAGTCCCGTGAGGACTCAATGGCCCTTAGGGGTCCCTTCCAACTCAAGATTCTCAACTCTGTGATTCGATGGTTTCATTGAAAAAGCAGGATTTTTTAATGTGCTGCTACATTGCAGTGCGTGGAAACAAAGGAAGGATCCTACAATTCTGGGACAAGAGTTGATGTGTTAGCTTTTAATTTTTGCCTAGTGTGACCCTGTAGAAGGTCTAGCAGTTCAATTGCAAACTGCTGTCTGGAACGGCTGATTAAATTCAGAGTCAGGGACAGAACACGAACAAGCAAATGTGTGTATATGTTTATAAGGCATATTTTGCTTAAGAGTATAACAAGTATTTGAGTGCTTTTTTCACCCCTTCGTTCCTCTACATTGCTCATTAATGTCTGAACTATTTGCCTTTTGTTTGAACTTTCAAATCGTAATGTTCTCCACAGTGGAGTAATTTTTTACATATTTGTACGTAATTATTGTTAATTGGGAGAAAATGAATGCATTTTGGTATTGCATCGAGGTGTGGTAATAACTGGTTGTAATGAAACTCATTTGTTTGCCTTTTCCTTCTGAAGAAACTATTTGGAACTTTGTGGTTTGAAGAATAATCAGGCAACACGGTACAATATAAATCTATAATACAGATTTATATAATATATATATTTATGTATATATGTATTTATATAATATAATCTATTGTATAGATTTCTAGAACGAGTTGTAAAATTATCTGTGTATCAGAGTCCTCTAGTTGATGAACTGAAATCATATCATGCCGGTTAAATTTTGTTGGTTTTTAAACACAGTTTATTATTAGCTGACCACATTTGCATTTACTTTGGTTATTTACAGTTCAAAGGAATTTTTGGTAGTTCCTTCCCTTCTTATTCTCCAAATCACAACCTAGAGCTCCCTCCCTCCCTCCCCTTTAGTGCAAACCAGTCGGGCTGGGGGGCAGCAGGGGAAAACTCGGAATCTCTGTGAACTGAGTTTGTGGCTGAATGTGCCAGAGCTGCAGTTGTGCTTCTGTTTCTCTTGCTTCTTTCAAACTCTGGTGATCGTTGGTGCTGAAACTTTAGGCAGCAATAAGAGGTAAATAAACAGAGATGCCATCTTTTGTGTAAAAATGGAGCTGCTTTAATGAAACGCTCTTTGAAACAGAAACATTCATCTCAGACTGATTACAACTATACAAAATGCTGGAAGGCTTTTTGAACTCATTGCTAGTTGAGTCATATCTACAGCCTTTCCCTCAGTAATTAGTTCCCTTTATTTCACTACATTCCCAGCCCTGTGTTCTCTGTCATGAAAAAAACCAAACCTGTCTTTTTCAACATAATTGGCCAATTTAATTAAAACTTAACTGGAGCATTGAGAAAAAGCCAGCAATATTCAAGGTGAGGTTTTTATTTTTCACTATTCACCTATATGGTCTCCCTTTTCTGTTCTTTTCCCTACTCGTAGCATAAGCCATGTGAGTGATTTTCAAATGAAAATCAAATGTTGTACCAGGCTGTGTTTCTGCTCTAACCTCTCATCTAACACATACGCAGTTTCAAGAAGTAGAAAGAAAATGCTGTAAAAATAATCTGCTGTTGGTAATATCTCAATGCCACTACGGTAAAAATCTTGGTAGGAAGACAGCATATTTGGAAGGCCGCATTGCAGTTAATCCTTTTCATAATCTTTGTCATTGCTGAATCTCAGGAAAAATAAAAACTCGTTCTGAGAGAGGTTTTTTTAAAGCTTTTCTTGCCATATTTATTGATATGAGAGGGTAAAAAAAGGTCTTTGTACCATCCATTGTGGGAAGTTTGGCCAGACTTATGCTCAGACAGGAATCCAACTGGACAGCCGTTCGTTTTGAAACACCTCACATGGGATGTTTTATGACAAGTCAAATAGAAAATGTTTTATAAACTAATAATGACATACAATTAATGTTACAGCTTGTTCATAAGAATCAAAGAAAACATTTTTACAAAGTACATAAGGAGAGCAATCTGAGTTGGGTTAGTTGAGTTTAAGGTCTACTTATTATAAAACTGAACTGGAAACAGTGCTATATTGAGTTAAAAAGCAGAAAATGTCTGTTTGCTGCAGAGTGCTATTCAAAAGACACCATCACATCAAAATGGATTTGGAAACAAATGCTGCACTTTACATCCTTAGAATATTAACGAGCCATGTGCTTGATTCAGACTTTGTATGGTTATTAAGCTCTCACAGGCTTGTCTAGGAATTGTTTTGATTTGACATGAGAAAATAAGGCCTGTTTTTTAAGTCCTTCTGTAAATTAGTAATATAAATGCACAGCACTGACAGTAAATAGCACTGTCAATATTGTCTCTGCAATATCAGTTCCTTCTTGGAAGTAGTGTAGCCTTTTCATTTCATTTATGTAAGTAGCCCTATGGTCCAAATTAGCATTAGGTAATTTTTTGTTTGTCCTTAGCAAAGCAGAAAATGATCTAGGCTTTACATTTGACAGCACAATATCAAAATATCTTGGTGTTTTAATGTAAACTGTAAATTAAAACCTCCAAACTGATTTACAGTAAATAAAACCTGAAATATTGACTATTAAGGGACATATATTCCTCCAAGGAATAAGGGTGTGCTAGCCTGTTGGCCTTGCACCCTTTGCACTTCATTGGAACTGTGTAAGTTTTGCCACGAGAAAAGTAAATAAGAATACTTATTCTCATGAGTGTTTTCAAATCTGCTGTTGTCTGTCCTTTAAATACGGATTCATGCTATTGTCAAGATAAACATTAGAAACATGAACAGAATATGTGACAAAAATGATTTATATAGTTTCTTTGCAAGTTTACATTATATATCCAGTACAGCATATCTTAGGATGTAACAGGATACATGGGACGTGCTGAATTTTATGTCCAAACTACCATTTACACTGACTTGAATGGAGTTAGAGATGCCTGCTCTCCTGAAGATGTGCACATCTTTGCAAGTGTAAGTCCCGATGGTTTTGTAAGGGCTCTAGAGCAAGCAGACTGAAGGAAGTGTTTGGAAACTGGACCCTCAAGTGGCCACCCAGCGGCAGCTCTGGTTCTTCATGAGCTCCAGTGCTGGAACCCTCACAGCATGGGCAGCAGAAATGGGTCTGGGGTTTGGTGAAACCTTTGAATGGACCCAATCTAACCAAATGAGGACAGAACTGTCTAAATCTGTGCCTGTTCTAAATTCTCCTGTGGGGAATACATGACAGTAATTTCTAGCCAGAATTGGAATGAAAGGAAAGAAAACCAATGGAGAAAATTGTAGTCGAATACGTCAGAAATGGCAGTTATTACAGATTCGTATCCTGCACAATGGTTCTCATCCAGTTTCTAGAATTCAAGCAGTTGGACTGTCTGAACTTTGGCATTTAATAATTTCTTAAGTTTTTCCACTGTGAATTGAGTTTCCTTTGTAAACTTAAATATGTATGAGATTAGTTACTATCGACAGTAATCGATTCATAAAAGATAAGACTAAAAAACTACGAGGCAAAATATGTTGTAACACTTCTCTAGTACAAGTTCATGAGTTACCAAATTCATTGTGACAGAGTATGATGGGTAGTCATGAATGAAAAGTCGTTAATGTAAATTCAAACTGTTAAATATGGTCCAATATTTGAGAGCTTTTTAGAAATCACTTGCAGTGCAAGCTGTCGAATATCTATTGCAGGTATTTTTACAGGAGTTTCTAAAGCCAAGGCTTTTAACAGAGCTGAAATACAAAGACGTAGTCACAGATTTAGAGAGGCGTTATCAAGTACTACAGCTGCCGTGATGATGGAGGTGGTTTCTGTAAATATAAGCAGTTTTAACCTGTCATTATTTGGGTTGGTTCCGTAAAATGCTGAAGCATTAGAACATCTGGCTTTTCTTTCAGCAAGGTCTAGCTAGTCCATAGGAGTATTGAACTGGGTAAGAGGATTTTGATTATCAAAGCTGTTTTTTAACTTAGTTATCAACAAAAGTTACAACTCTGTAGATAAAGAAAGCTAAGACGTAAGTGACATATAGGATATGAAGCACAGATTGCTTAATCACAGAAGTGTTCAACTTGTTTCAACAGATAAGGAGAAGCAGGGATTTTTGAAACTTTTTTATAGCACATTGTTATAATACTTTACATATACACTGTACAATAGTTCTTTTGTATCAGAAGACTTTCATACAGGAAAAAAAAATAGTTCTATAAAACATTCCATAGTTCATCAGAAAGATCTGGGATAGAACATGGGGCTCTCAATCTGTAGGTTAACAGAAATAGGGGAGAAAATTCTGGCAATTCTTTTGTTCTTGTACATTCGTATTGGTAACAGGGAACCTGGTTATGCCTCAGAGGACACAGAGGAGCATTCGCAGCTTGAGCCTCTCTGCACAAAGCATAACTTTACAGAGGAGCTCCCTCCAGGAGATTTGTTCCTCATCTCGCGTGAGTGCCAATTCCACGGGCTCGTACTTTAGCTGTACAGGACAATTTGTGTTTGTTTCTAAGCAACAGATACATTAGACAGTGGCAGTTCAAAGCTGTGAGCGTGCAATGTTTGATGGAATCAACTCCGAGGCTTTTTAGGAAGTGATCGTTTTAAGGTTCGCTGATATCGATAAACTCTTTCTCTGGGGGAGGACCACCTCGGTACCAGCTGCAAGTGCCATCGCTTCTCTTGATACAGGCATAGTGCTTGGCTTGGTGCCCGTACAGCTTTCGTTCTATCAGCCAGTCTGTCCACAGGCACTCGTTTGGTGTCGTGATTGAACAGGGCACCATGTAGCAGGTAGTGATCTGAACGTGAAATAGTACAGCAGTTCAGTATATTGCAGGGCTCTTTAAAATGCTTGTTATTCTCAAACAACATAAAATATACGGTGCATAAAAAAAACCAATGGGCTCCCCCATTAGGCAGTGTTTGGTTCTATACTTACTTTGCAGCCACAGCCCATTTGATATCTCTGGTTAAGACTCTTCTTTTGAGACAAGGATAGATTATCCCATGGTTCAATGTAGTTGCATAAATGGATGAGGACTTTGCCATCGCTTAAAATCTGGCCTATAGCACAGAAAATAAGGAAAAATAAGGCGTGCAAATAAAACTGCTTTCTTAATATTGAAATAAATGGCAAGAATACCTGGATTTTTTAACTAATTGCACCAAATTAGTTTCATTTCACACTTTTTTCAGTGAAAGTAATTATAACTGAGAGAACTATTCTGCTGGTTGCATGCTGAATAATTGTAAAAGATATAAGAAGGGTATTTTTTAAAAGGTGCTGATAATCTGCCAGCAAGGGATGGATGCAAATATAGCAGTATGTTAAAGTAGACTTCGTGACTCTGTCGAAAAATCTATAGTTACTCAGAACCCCAAATCTGCATACACAGAGCCATGTGTTGTCTCGTCAAATGTGTGTGCATTTCTGTGAAAATCAGTACTTTTGGTTTAAATCAAACAATAATGGCACGCTTCCTCTGTACTAATTACATAGTTCCTGACTTTGACTTCCTTTGAAACAGCTTTAAGGCCTTCAGGTGAAGGATGGAAAACGTGTAAGATCACAGTATAATTACAGTGTGACACGATTTCGGCATTTCGTTGTGTTAGTATTATTTAGATAGTACATAAATATTTTAATTTTTAACAGCATATTTTTTCAAAGTCAGTCTAAGCAGTTACTTCTGGTTTTGTAGGTACGTTACTTCTGTTTTACCTGTCAGAAGATACTGTTTTTTGTTGTTAGCGTCTAGTTTCACTCCACAGAGTGACGAATCAAAAGGGGTGTAGACGTACTGGACATCCTTGAGCTTTTCAAATCCTTTAAACATCTGAAAATTAGCAGAAACGGGAAGTTAGTAGTAGAAAACAAACATGAAAAAACAGTTGCAAACAACAACTGATAGAAGTGTATGGTGCATCTGTAAAAAAACCTCTGAAGTCTGAGCTTATGAGATAATACTGACAATTAGACCCCTTCTCTACACTAAATGAAATCTGTCCATTATTTTTAGAAGTAAATTAGGTCTTCATTTAAAAAAAATGTTTTAAAATGTGCTTTTTCAGTGTTTTTAATGGATCTTTAAAGCTTTCTCCTCAAGTTATATTCTACTTGCACCTTCCATTCAAGGGGTAATGCAGACATGGCATTCATCTACAACAATGTATTAATATGGGAAATTTTGTCTTGTTCAGTTGAATGTGTATCTTCAAGGACAGGAAACATGCTAAGAAACTGAGCATTGCTCTTCTGTTCTGTCATTAAAGCAAGCTGATTTTCTACATCCAGAATTTTACCCGATGCTGGTGAAAAATGGGAGTTCCTGAGCTGCAGCACCACTTGGTTCAGAACCCAAACCTAGGGAACGTTCAGCTGGGCTGCACCTTCACTGGCGTTTCCAGCTATGAAAATAGTCCTTCAAGTAAGCCGTTAAAAGATCAAAACAACTTTAGTAGTGCCCAAATGTGAGAAGGAACCATAATCAACCTCAGGACGCCTGTCGTCACCTACAATGACACAACCGAAACCCCAGCCTGCGGGGGCCCCGAAGTGACACGGTGCTGTGTGTTGACAGCTGTGGGCAGTCGCAGGGCTCCCAGCTCCCACGGGCAGGCTCTCCCAGTTGCAGCTGATGTCACTGGAAAATGTGTTCGTGTTACTCAAAATTCTCTCGGGAGATTGAAATAGTACAGAGTACTAGAAAAGACACTGTTTTTCTGCAGCTTTATTTGTGGAATTAAAACAAAAGCCAAAGTTGTTGTCATTGGGCTTCTGATCAAAAAAATATTAAATGTGAAGTTGAAGTGTGTGGTAGAAAAAAACAAACATGCCAAACCAAACCAAACCTCTGCAAAGCAGCAGTGAAAATAATAGAAAACATGTATTAAGATGATGAAAATGTGTCAGATTTTATTAGATAGAAGTAGTCTGGTATGTCAGCCCCATATAAAAGTTCCCACAAAGATGGACAAACGAGGATGCAGGAGCAGGCTGTGCATGGGTGCAGAGCCTGGTGGCTGACCCAGCGCTGCCCTGTCCTCCTCCTCCTCCTCCTCCTCGGCAGAGCCATTTGGTCCCTGCCATCTTTGGGACTTGAATCTCCTGCTTCTGCTACCCTTAAATCCACCTTACTCAGCATTCAGGTACTCAACACAGGTGTCGACTACACAGCAACTACCTGAACTGGGCACATATATCCTCTGAGTTCTTTCCATGTTCAGAGACCTTTGATTGGCCTGCACTGTGTAGTAGCGTACAGCATCTGTCTTAATATCTCATCACTTGATCTAAATTAACTTAAGAGACATTATGCAGACAAAACAGATTGATTTAGCTATTAAAAAAAAGAGAGAAATATCCATGGCAGCTTATAATGGAGGTCTGGTTAATATTTAAATGAGCTTGGTGTTTATTTTGTTGGGGTTTGTCTGAAATTACAGTCTGACCTATCTCAGGTTTTGACCTAGATATTTGTTAAAGCATTTCTTAAGATTTTAAACGTCCGTTTAATTCAGTAAAACATGTTTGATCTTCTCAGTCATATTCCCTCATCTCCTGAAGGTGTGGATGATTTTTCTGTAAAGGAATAACATGGCTTGATCTGATTCTGCATTGTGCTGTGCTCCATTTGCACTTGAGGTTCTGATGGGACTTTATGAAGGTAGGAAAAACGAGTGAGAAATTGGGAGAGCTGGGAGATGTGAGCCTGTTGCTGAAGTCTCTATTGATACTGCCCCTGTCCTGAGCTCCATAACTGAGATCAGAACGTGGCTATTGCTTTCAGATTTTAGAATACTTTTTTAAGACTAGCTGTACCACTTTCAGTGTCTCAAGCATGTTCCTCTTATAATAATTACATTCTTCCATCTCTGATTTCTCTAAGCCTTTTCAGCTATATCATGGCTTGTTTTCCTAGCTTTATGTAGTGAATATTATCTAGCTTTCAAACTGCGTGTGTCATTATAAATTATAGATATCGTCGTGTTTAGCTTAAATACCTCCTCTTATTCCCCCTGTGAGGAGACCCCACTGCGTTGTAAAAGATGTCTAATTCTTTCAGCAGGCTTCTATCCATGCAGCTGGTGTGGCAAATACTTAGGGATTTTGCTTATACTAGTTGCACTTGGTAAAATGTTTTAATTTCCTGAATGACAATAACATCTTGGGCCTTACTCTACTACTCTGATAATACAGGACAGTATCATGAAAGCTAATGGCACTGTTTAAATATTTAGGTGGCTCCTCAGGGTAAGTATGATAACCAAGTCAATAATACTGTTACAAAACAACTAATCAATTGCATATAAATCACATATTTTCTTCTCTCTTTAGTATAATGCTGTAAATATTGCAGTAAGAGAAAAAATTAGTCATTGAAAAAAATGCAGGGCTTCTTAACATGTCAACCTATGCATATAAAAGGAATAAAACCATCGTTATTCTTTTTTGTACTTCTGAAAATGAACAACAAACTCATATTTAGTATTTCTGTCCAAAAATACCAATGTTTTACTGCTAAGCCTAATGCACAGGACTTAAAAGAACAGAAATACATTTTTTGTAAGAGGAGCAGCATACAGCAGCCACACTGATGTTGTATGGCAAACAGCCTAGAGCGTAGCATAAAAGAGAGACAGCAGCGTTTTGCTGAATTTAGAATGCAGTAAAATGTCACCTCTACAGGTTCTGTGTTTCTTTTCCAAGAGGGAAGAAGAATTGTTGAGGGAAGTAGGAATATGTGTGTGGCTTAAAAACTACTCACTAAAACTAACACTGAGTTGGTAATCATGTTTTAGCTTGATAGATCTTGCAGCTCAAAAGAGATAAGAGAGTCTGTTCTTACTTTCTGTGCTCTATAACGTGAATTCTTAGCATATCCCTCAGTTCAGGAAGTGTTTATGCACAGGATTATCTAAAAACCTGTTATCACTGTGCCACTGGTCACGAAAACGATGGGTCAGGTTATCATAACTGCAGGCCATCAAATTTACTGTATGAGAAATGGGTTTGTATGCTCTCAAGAGAGGAAAGACTGTAATAGTGAAAAGAGACTATCAGACTGCTGATTCAGATTCTTCTCAATGTTAACATCTGAGGGAAAAGGTAAGAAACAGTGTTATCAAGTCACTGCTCTGGTCAACAAAGTTCATGGTTATTCAGGAAGCTGAGGTGCACACTTGAGGTCACTGCTCCGTGAGGCTCAGTGTGAACACCTCTGGTGGTATCAGTCAGGCTGGCAGTTGAGTCACACTGCTCCACTGAGGTGGCCAAATCTGGCCGATTGTATTCAACTTTGTATTATTTTAATCGATAATTTTACACTTACCAAATGTTTACAAGCATTTACCCTATTTAAAATTCCTTACTCTCTTTACTTTTGTAACTTGATGCAGACTTTATAGTGTTCTCCATAACACTTTTCCCTTAAACTTCTGTTACCTTGGAAGTATTTCTCAGTAATTTTTCAGTATGCACAGTCCTGTTTAATTTTCCCTCATATGCCAACTTTCAGTTACATGTTTGGAATGTAACAGGTTACATCGCTCTGTCAGTTCCTGTACGCAGGGATGGTAAATGGGTTTATTTCCGTGCCCCACTGAATTTTCTAGCCATCCCACAGCAGATTTGCCGGTTACAGGAGCTGCTGTCCGCTCACCCACTCCGTATCGCGGAGGTTTCGAACAAGAATCCTTTTACTGGGTTTGCTGGCGAGGCTGGGCGGGAGCTGGGTCCCCAGGCAGCCGAGCAGCTGCGTGCCAGGGTGTGAGCCCCAGCTCCTGCCGCTTCTTAACCCTCTTCTGGCCAGAAGTGAGAATTGGAAGGGTGGGACTGTGGTGACTGATTTGTCTTTAGTTTAACTTGTATGTAATGACGTAGCACAGCTTTTATTAGAAAATTAATCCTTCTGGTTTGTCCAGGCCTAGCTGACTTGCCTTTTGAAGCTTAGTGGAATTAAAGATCTCTTGCTGGTGCCTGAGTTTTGAATAGGCCTCCACTTAGGAAAATTTGGGAGGAAGTCCAAAGCAGCTCCAAGATATGAATGCATTTCAGAGAGTTCAGTGTGCTGTCACTGAAGAACGGGATTGGAGACTGAAAACAGTAACACGGACTAGACTTGTCATTCTTCTTTTGTCTGCTGAAGGACTGGATTATTTTAACAGCACGTAGCCGTTCACAATGATCTACTTAAGTGTTCCTAATAAATGGAATACTGGAAATTAGTGCAAATAGTACAAAATAATAGTCTCTAGAAAATGAGAAATAAAACCACATAGAAAACTTACAGCAAACAAACCTGATAGATCAACCAACAACAAAAAACCCCAATGCACACTGATACATTTTAAGACTACCTATTTTTTGTGTATCCCAGAAACAGGTATGTCATCCGTTTTTTATCAGTGAGAGTTTGATGGTGACTTGAATGGGATCAGATTATGTCTTCTTGAAGCACTTTAATGAATGTCTCCTTATTGGAGCTGAACAAATAATGGAAAAATCCTCTGGGATTCTGAATGACTGATAATGAATTTTTGGGTGTTCCCACTTTGTGTTTGCCTTCCTAGCCACATTAATACAAATGGAGATTTGTTTATATGAATATCGGGGAAGGACTCCTGTTTTCTGCAAGTGTCCCTGTTCACTTAGAACAAAGGTCCTTGCTGTTTCAGCTGGAAACACTGTCCTCTCTTTATGAGGTTTGCATCATCCCATCAGAGAGCTGCAATATCCTAATGCGACACAGGTGATCAGGTCCACTCCAGAAACGGCAAATGTATTGAACACCATTTGGAGGTTGAAGTACATTATCATAGTCTTCATAAAGCAATTGGGAATAACAAAAATTGTGCCATTCGGAGGTTGAAGTACATTATCATAGTTTTCATAAAGCAATTGGGAATAACAAAAATTGTCATCAAAATAGCAACTCATCAATGTCAGAACAGCTCTGGGGTTTTTTTTTCCTTTTTCTTTAGTCCCTACTTTCATTTATTTTGTGTAGTTCCCCCAGGTCTAACCATGGGGGCAGCTGGAGCCTGTTAAAGCATAAAGCATTTAGGACTAAACTGTAGTAGTCATATACATAGGTTATCAGCATCGAACTTCAAAATAGCTAAGTGATTCCATGTACCTTTATTTGTTTGATTTCATACCGGATCATTTTGTGGGTATCAAGAGGATCATCGCTGGCAGGAACCACCTTTTCGCTGGATATTTTTGCTCGAATCACTGTAATAGAAAAAAAAATATTTAAATGCAAATAAGCATATGCCTAATTTTACGGCAGTGGTAAAAATTATATTGGTGGATTTTAGCATTGTTTTTACACTTCAGCTAGAAGTAGATTTTAAGGCTTGTTACTATAAGAACACTAAATTAACTCTTGAAAATAAAAATATGTGGACTGCTTTTGATAGAAATCTGAATCTCCATGAATCTAGAAATCTGAGTTAAGTTACCACTCAGTTTTGACAAAAACTGTCAACCAAAAGCTTTGGAAGACTTGAGTCCCATAAACTTTGGTAAAACACCCATCATTATAATCAGTGGGTAAAGGAAAGGGACACTTCTGCTGCTGACAGAAGAATTGGTGATCGGTTACAGAGACTTGAAGTTCACACTGTGAAAGACCGTGCCAGGCAAGATTAAAGCATCAATGGTGTGCAAGAAATCAGAAGACAAGAATGGTCTTTCTTTCACTTTTCTGAGACTATAGGTTGTAGCATTTTTCTTACCATGTCATTAGTTGTGTTAACCTCTATGAATTAATTACTCCCTCTTTTGCCACATTTTATTATTTCCTATTCTTTAAACAAGGAAAGGATGAGATTTTATGAAAGAAGAAAGGATTTGTTTGCATGTTTGCTTGAGGCATCTCTTGTGTATACTGTTTAAAATATACCAGGACTATTAAACACTATTAAACAGGATTCTAAGCCATGGTATATGGCCAAAATTTCTCTGGGGCTTTCTACCCTGGCAAGTATTGGGTGTCAGGATGCTCAGGGCTGTGTCTGGCTGAGTTTTGAGTATCTCCAGGGATGGAGATGCTGCAGCCTCCCACAGCCCCTGTTCCAAGCTTCACTGAAAGACAAAAAATCAAGCTGATGCAGAGTAAAATATTTTGGCATCAAAATAATTTCCCCAAAAATCTATTTCTTTGATAGGTTGACCACTAAACATCATATCTAAAGAAAAGGACTAAGAAACCCAGATTGCCATTTTCCTTACAGCCAAATAGAGATCAGTCCCAGCTAATAATGGGCAAGTCTCATTTCCTCACCTATTAGCAGAGCAAACTAAGTGTACTAATCAACATGGTGCAGATGCCTGCAGCTTCAAAGCTTGAGTCTTCTATCTTTTGGCACCACGTTCCCTTCTCCCAAGCCATTTAAACTCTTTTAAAGGAGCATTTTAGAGTTATGGGTTGGACTGGAAAAGTTCTAAGTGTGAGCAGCAGATTCCTCGTTTCAAATGGTAAGTGACAGCATCTCTTTCATCATCAGCAGATGTGTTCCCACAAATTAGCAGTACTTCTGAAGTGCTTTGATCTAATTCCAGATCAAGTGGTGTGCATTGTGTGCACCACGGTGTGGGAAAGGTCAAATTAGAATCATGTTTTGTTTTGCATGGCTTTCCTCTGCATCATTACTTCCTAAACAAATGTTTTCTCATTAAAGAGCTTGTTCAATATAGAAGGTGAGGGATGAGGCAGCAGTTTGGAGCTAGCTCCATTATTTTCTTAATACCATAACATGGCTTATATGTAGGAAGTCTTTCCCT